GTGTCAGTGGTTTAACTGGCATCGATTTCGTAAAACAATAACTAACCAAGCATGTTTTTGGACTAAATATTTATTTTGGAGCTCCGAAGGGAACGGAGAGATTTCCTAAAAATCCGTAAAAAGGGGAAACCGACATGTGACCCGTTTCTAGATTTACTGATGATATGTTTACTCCCACAGGAGTTTGCGGGTTGCAAAATGTAAAACTCAAACTAAAATCTGAAGATTCTGTTGTTTCTTTTAGCCTGGACAGACGGAGAGAAACACTTATTTCACTTTGAAGTTTTACTTTGGAAATAGACCAATAATTGGATGTCAAATTTGTGGACATGTTCGCTATGCCTAACCAATATTTACCTGAAGGTTGTTTCCCCTCCCATTACAGGATTTTATTACACATGAGTTCATGTGTAAAAAGGGGAGTGGTATAATTTATAAAATGTCAACATGGTTGTAAAATTCACAGATTTAAAATTTTCTTTTTAAGGATTGAAAGAAACTTTTGCCCGCCCAACCCAGATTCTCAAACTGAAGCATTTGAAGATAGTTTTAGGATTAACCTGCTCATATCTAGGGATAATATACTGTTTTGGTGAATGTTGGAGATGTTTCTAATATTGATTGAGTTCTATAACGTAACACAGGATGCAGAATCAGTGGCCAAGGGGCTTCTGTGAGAGATGTAATTCCAGAATGGAATACAGAAGAAGTTGACCTGTGATAATGGAAACAATTGTGTGTTTTAATATTTTCAACAGATATTAAAGTACCTGAGGTTTGGAAATGTAGGAAATAGAACATATTACACGTTAGCTTAAAACATAGTAATGTAATTGAGACGTTAATTTAATTTAGAAACAACATCTTGTATTACAGTCGGTAAAAGAAGTAAAAGCCATAGACTTTATTGTTTTTGTCATTATGCGGATATACATTTTCATTTAAATTCATAATAGAAGACATGATGACAGTTATGGTTTGGATTTCTGTATTTTCATTTTTTCAGTGCTTGATAATAGATAGGTAGAAGCAGTATTGCCAGGTTGCACATCGATGGGATTTTCTGCAACGATCCAAGCAGAGAATGACGTACCTTACAGGACAGGACACACTTCAGGAAATCATTCACTCTTTACATCATCATGACTTTAGTTGGTTTTTGAAATCATAATGAAATTGTGCATTACATTAACGTTAGTGTGTTTTTCACCACAAACAGGGAATAGTTAATTGTTTATATTAGATTTGAGGAAAGATTACAAGGATTTATTTTTAGTTCACATGAAGATGGTTTTTTTGTTCCTGAACATGCCAATTAGTAAGATTCAAATATCAGCAGGTTCTGAATTATTATTCCTCTTGTCCCAGAAACCAACAAAGAATGTGGATGGGAGAGAAACTATATCTACTGGAGCCAGCAGAGATTCGAAATTGCACAGAACACATTAAAAAGGATGACACAAACAGTTAGATAAAAACAGACCGATAGAATCGTGCTAACTTGTCTCTCAAATAAAGAGTAATATTTAGCTATTTTTAGGATTGGGGGTTTTTTTTTTAATCCTTCTTATACTTTGTAAAAGAACAAGTTGCCTTTACCACCAGATACAGTATGGAGATGATTTAGATGTGAAAGGAGGCGTTCGACGTTTCTCTATACGTTCTA